ATCCTCCATATATCTCCCTGGTATGAAAGCTTGTTGGTTTTCCAAGGTAATACCTGGGAGGATCTTCTTCATCCTATTGACCAGAAACTTGGAGATGCATTTGTAGACCGTGTTGCAAAGGCTGATTGGTCTGAATTGGTTGGCTAGTTCAGGGACTTTCACCTTTGGGATCAACACCAGCAGGGACTGGTTCCGTTCTTTAAGCATATTACTAGATCTCATGAATTGTTGGACACTGTTCACCACTAGCTCCCCTACTTCCTCCCAGAAAACCTGAAAAAATTTGGATGTGAACCCATCTGGACCCGGAGACTTAGAGCCATGCATATCCAACATTTCTTGTTTAATCTCCATATATGTGAAAGGCCTGTCCAACCATGACTTATCATCTATAGAAAGCTAGGGTAGCTCCAGTTGTCGAATCAGAAGGTCAATCTCCTCCCCATGATCCTCTGAGATGACTGGATTGAAGATTTCTTTTACAAAAGTTAAAATTACCTTTTCCACCTCCGAGTGCCCTTCCACCCAGGAATCCTCTTCATTTCTTATCGTTAAAATCTCATTATGAATCTGACGTTGTTTTACCCTCTTATACATTGTAGAAGTAGGTAAATCCCCAAACCTAATCCAGTTGTCCTTCATTCTTTGTTGCCAGAACTTGTACCTTATTTGGCTTTCCGGAATGATAAGGTTGACCCTTTGAATATATGATTCCCCTTCTTGAACCGTCCTAATATCCGACCCTGTGTCGTGTAGCTTACTAGTGAGTTTTCTCTAGTTGATACCCCACATCTTCTTATTTTCCAGGCACCAGTACTGGAGTCGAGTTCTTAACAGACTTAGCTTTCTTAAGAGTTGGAACATAGAAGAGCCTTGAAAGGGTTCCTTCCAACCTTTTGTCACTATTTCCTTCACTTCCGGGAAATTGAGGCACCAATTCTCCAATTGGTAAGGCCTGTTCGAAGTGGTCTTTGTGGAATGTGACTGGTAAGTGATGGCAGCATGATCTGAGCAGATGATGGGTTCATGAAATACTTTCCCATCAGGGGAGTGATGGAACCAATCTTCCGTAATGTAGGCCCTATCCAGCCTTTCAAGAATCAAATTGTTTCCTTCTCTTTTGTTGCTCTAAGTAAATCTTGGCCCTGAGAAAGGTACTTCTGAAGCATTACTACTAAATCTCCAATCCAAGAAGGCATCGATCCCTCTAATTGAAACCGATCCTCCTAGTTTATCACTTCCACTTTCCACTTGATTGAAATCTTCTATAACTAACATATTTTTGAACTCATTTAGGAACCATTGAAGTTGTTCCCAAACTAATTTCCTATGTTCTACTTAAGGCTCGCCATAAGGGAACAAGACATACTTAAAACATCCATTAGATTCCACAATCTTACAAAGGATAAAGTTTTTCGAGGAGTACAAACATTATACTACATCATTTGACCAACCTAAAACTAAAAGACCCCTACTACTCCCATCCGAATCCCAACCAAAAGTGGATGTGGGAGCCAAAACACCTAAAACCGTTGTCGCATCTGAAAAACACATCTTAGTTTCTGAAATAAACATAAATAAAGGAAGTTTCGAGCGATAAAGCCACACTAAGTAGGGAATTGTAGGAGAGTGTGGATCATTTAAACCCCTACAATTCCACGCCACAACTTTCATATCTCTCTTGGGGGCTGATCTGGTCCAGCCTCCTTACCCTTTGACGAGCCCAACATCAAGTCAAGAATGGATAATTGGAGATCGATGTCCATATCATCTCTGACTTCCCTGAAAGCCAAAGTCACCTCCTCACTTTTTTGCCTCTTAAAAGAACCCGAAGAAGAAGAAGAAAACTCTTGAAGCCTTTTGTTTTTAACCCTAGCTTTGAGGAGGTCATCATCAATACCAACCCCAAATTCACGAGCCATGTCCGGATCTGAAATAGCCTTTGACGCGAACTTTTTCCTTCCATTCTCATCATTGATCCAAATACTAAACCCACCTTTATCGGACCACCGATGAAGCCTTTTGAGCCTCTTGCGCTCCACCCATTCATAGTCAATTTCACTATAGCGGATTGAGTCACCATCAATCGAAAGAGGCATGTGTCCCACCGCTTTCCTAATTCTCTTTTTTGTGTTAGCACTATCATCATAATTAAACAACTCGGTGAAATTAAAAGAACTAAGATGCGATACCGGGGTGTTAGGCGGATCAAACTCTGTGAGGGGAAGGTTAGGCAAACCCCCCAAGTCCGCTGGAGAAAGCCTCAAGAAGGGCGAAGAGTTTGCCCTAACATTACAGTGGATTTCTTGAATCTCCATCCTTCTAGCATTTCGGATTCCCAAAGACAGGATAGTACTAGCTTCTACGATGCATTCGTACTCCGCATCTCCTGGATCTTCATCAAACTCAAGCATAGTTGCCATAATTGAGGGATTTTCCACATCTCTATGCATGAAGGAATTTTCCAGATTATTCCCTCCACCCGTTCCTAAACGGACAGGTGTGCTTCCACCGAATGCAATAGGAGTGGAGGCCCACTCAGAAATTCCCAAAGTATGGAAGATGGTTCCCGGGCCACCCCTTTGATGGGGTTGAAGCTGGGTCGCGGATGACTCCCCCATCTTAAATCTCGAACCTGGAAAAAATGCCTTGGTGGAGTCGGAAGATTAGCAGCTAATGGAGGAATGGGCACCTGATCCGCCGTGGTCCTTCCTATGTCGAAGTCCAGCATTCTTCTTGCTGCTGGTTCGCGATCAGCCTCATCCACCTTTTGTTTACCACAATCATTAGTGGGGTAAACAATAGGTGGATATGGTTGCCTTCCTGGAGCGAACTCGGCGTAGGGGTCTTCCCCTAACCCTAACCTTCTTCCTGGCGAGAGGATTAGATCCCGTCTCACCTCTTCAATTTCCATTTCCACCACCCCCGATTCGTCATTTGACAGGTTCTCTTCCACCGTATGAAACCCATCACTCCCTTCACTATCCGACCAAGATAGAGGCCCGTCGAACTGGTGACCTTCATTAAAGTCAAAATTCTCCCTTGGAACCCTCATGTCCAAAGGATGACCGTTTGGCTCTTCGAAATGTCGCAAGTCGACCCCCGTGTTCCGAAACCTGTACCAGTCCGGTAAGTCTCGAATGTAGTTAGAGTAGTATAGGTACTCTGCTGGCCCGTAAAACACCCTAACCCCATCTGCTGAACCTCATCGAGACGCCTTCTTACCCTTCTCCTAGTTACCAAAGCATGAAAGGGGCATCGCAAAGTCGAGTGACTGACGCACCCACACGACTTGCAAAATCGATAAACCCCCTCATACCTCAATGATGTACACATTCTATACCATATTTTACCCTCATTTTATAGCTATGTTCGTATGATTTCTAAGCTCTACGGAGCTATTTCTCGCTAATATCCTCCTCTCTAGTGTGGCTTGGTCTATTTGATTAATTTTGTAGGCATATGAAGATTTCCGGATGATTTGGACTTGTTTTGGATAGCCACGAAAGCTTATTAAGATGGAGGAAAATTTTACCCGTGTCCTCCCTAGAGGGCAACATTGCCCTGGCAGCCAGGGCGAAGAAGGAAAGAAGAGAATCCACAAGAGAGAAAGTATGAAGAGTTCAATTTATGTCCGCCCGGACCGGGCAGCATTGCCCGGGCAGCCCGGGCAGACGAGGTACTACACGAGGAGGCTACGTGAAGAAGCATTTGGGAGAGTTTGTCTGTCGCGCCCGACCGGGCATCCTTGCCCGGTCAGACCGGGCGGAGTGTCGAAGACCCCGTTTTCCTATTTTTTCGGGATTTCTTAACTAAGGGATATAAATACCCTTTGTAAACCCCGACTAAAACATACTTAGTTATTATTTTGCAGCTTTTAAACATTCATTAGAACCCTAATATTCTCTCTAGATCTAGATTAATTTTCACTTTCAAGTTTTGATCTTTGTTCATCAACAATTGGTACTTTTCTTCATTCAAGCAATTGATATTCATCTTTATTTCTTCTGTTACTTTTAGTTACTTATTAATCATGTTTTCTTCATTGAATATTGTTGTTGTTTTCATTAATATGTGTGAGTTGTATTCTTATTCCAAGATCTAGCGGAACCCGAATATGATTGATGCATGTTTTAATTCTTTAAATTCTCTAATAATAATTGTAATTGATATGCTTAATTGATTATGCTTATTCCAATACTAGATTAAGGATAATTGGTATTGTTATTAATCCTTTGTTTTAATCGCAACGGGAGTTGGGTTTTGACGGATTAGAATAAATCAATTAAGGATTTGAAGTTCATCACGGGAGTAGTTGAATGGATGATTAGGAAGTTAGAGTAATGTGTTCAAGGTCTTTAATTTACATGATTCCACGGAAGTAGGCTTGATTGTGATTAAAGAAGCCATTGATAAATCGGTAGAGACCATTGGTATTATTCATGGATTACTTTTCCTCATTAATCAATTGAATTATGTGTTAGGGGTAGAACGACTATTGCATTAATTGTATTCGTGGTGATGTTTGATCTTAGATGTTTTTAGCATTGATTTATCATATTGTTTTGATTTAATCGTTTTAATTAGTTCTTTAGTTATTGATTCTCATTCATTTAATTTAATTACTTGCTTAGTAATTGCTTGAGTCTATTTAATTAGTTGAACCATAGTCTCTTGGGATCCGACCCTTGCTTGCCCGTCTACATAGTAGTGGTCCAGTTAGATTTATTTTTGTTAGGTACGCGACACGCCTATCAAATTTTGGCGCCGTTGCCGGGGACTAACGGTTTCATTCTAGTTATTTGTGATTCGTTTTACTAAGCATATATTTTGTTGCTTCGGCTATTGTTCCTTGTGTTTTTGATCTCCCGTTTTAGTTTCTTTGTTGCATTCAAACTCGAAGTTCAGGTTCAGATGATTTAACACCTTTTGATTCTGAGATCGAAGCTGCTGCAAGAAGAGGAAGAGGTAGAAGGAGGAGAAATCGAAATATAAGAAACATGGTCGACCCAGGAACAAAATCTCTTTTGGAGTATGGTATTCCGGATACAACAACCGGATTCCTCTCTAGTATTGTTAGACCACCTGTCACCGCTCTGAGCTTTGAATTGAAGCCCCGGTTCATACAATTCATCTCTAGTGATTCTTTTGCGGGCTCACCGAACGATTGCCCTGTGACTCACATAGACATTTTCATGGAGAAATGTGACACTATGAAGCTCAATGGTGTCACTGATGATGCTATTAGACTACGCCTTTTCCCTTTTTCACTACGGGATAGAGAAAGGGAGTGGTTACGAGATGAAGGTATTGGTTCTTTTGATACGTGGGATAAGCTTGTCAAGGCCTTCTTAGTGAAATTTTTGGGGCAAGAGAAAACTGCAAAATTAAGAAACGAGCTATCTACCTTCCATTAATCTAATGATGAATCCTTATATGAGGCAGGGAGAAGGTTTAAGCGATTGCAGAGACAATGCCCTCACCATGGTATTCCAGAATGGATTTTGATCCAAACATTCTATAATGGTTTAACCCATGAGTTTCTCATATACATTGATGCTGCGTTTGGAGGTTCTATCATGACGAAAAATCCAACCGATGCGAAGGATTTGATTGAGAAGATGGCGGCTAATGATAATTACCATCCAAGGGGACGAAATGCTATCAACACAGGTAATAAACATGATGTTGATGCTCTAACCATGTTGACTAGTTTTGTGCAGGCACTAACTCATAAAGTCAATCAACTCCAAGCTGAGTCCCCTCAACCCTCGATGGAAACTTGTCAGATGTGTGGATTGCAAGGCCATACTGCGCGTGAGTGTCAGCCCAATTATGATGGAATGACGATTGAGCAAGATAATGCTTTCTATACCACGACCTCCACAAGGTCAGTTGATGAAGGGTGGAGAAATCATCAAGGGTTCTCATACAAGAACACTTAAGCTATAACAAATCCTCCACCACCACCAGCTTTTCAAGCAAGGACACCTTTCAATCATCATCCCATGCACCAACCACCACCTCAATCTTCAAATCTTGAATCCATTATGGAGACTTTTGCTACCTCCCAACACCAACAACAAGAGCTTATATCAAAGCAATTTGAGTTACAAGCAAAGCAGAATGAATATTTTGAAAACTCGATCCAACTGCTCGTTGCTCAAAATAAGAGGATAGAAACTCATCTTTCTCAATTATCACAACAAGTGAGTCATCTATCAACTCTTCAAGATCAATCAAAAGTCCAAACGAAACAATGCAATGCAATTTTCGTGAAGAGAGATGGATTGACTACGGGGGGATTAGAGGAGAAAGTGTGCAATCTGGAGTCAAAAACTGAAATGCGTGAAAATGAAGGTCCCAAATATGTTGCTCCACAAGCCTACGAGAAACTGATGCCTAACCCGCAAAGGTTATCAAAAGTTGTGCTCGATAAGCATTTTGGGAAGTATTCTGAGACTCTTAAGAAGGTATATGCTACCATTCCTTTTTCCGATCTTGTAATTCAAATGCCTCAATTTGCAAATTTTGTGAAAGGAATCCTAGATCATGATCATAATGATAAGAAATTAGAAAGTTTGGTAGTAAAGGAGAAATGTCTTGATCTTTTACATGATAGCTTACCACCTAAATTGCATGATCCTGGTAGTTTTACTATCCCTTGTATGATAAACGAAACATATTTTGATAGGGTCTTGTGTGATTTAGGTGCTAGTGTTAATTTAATGTCTTCTTCGTTGTATGAAAAATTAGGTTTGAAAAAACTTAAACCCTCTCCCATATCCCTTCAAATGGCTGATAGAACTGTTAGACTCCCTAAGGGTGTAGTTGAAGATGTATTAGTTGGGATTGGTGAACTTGTATTTCCAGGTGACTTTGTTGTAGTGGATATGAAAGAAGACCATAAGATCCCATTAATCTTTGGTCGTCCTTTTCTTGCTACAAGTCAAGATTTAATAGATGTTCCTAAAGGACAAGTGACCATTAGAGCTCAGGATAAACAAGTTGTGTTTAAGCTTTTCAATGACCATAATTTTACTTTTGATGGTGGTACTTGTTTGAGAATTGATGCTAATAACCCTTTGGTTAATAAGTGTGTTTCCAATAGAAATCATGTGCGCAAAAAGGACAATATTTCACCACATGACGGGTTTAGCTACATCAAAATAAGCTCGGATACAAAGCACATCAACTCTAATTTGAAGGAGTCATTTGGAGGTGGATATATTGATGAGAAATACCACAGAGTATCTACTTCGTGTGGTGACCCAGGTTGAGCTACTAAAGAGGGGTCAAGCTAAAGACATTAAACAAGCGCTAAATGGGAGGCAACCTATTCCGTTTTTTTATATTTATTCTATTTTCCCTTTTTTTTTAATTTTATATTTTTAATTTTTTTTTTAGTGTCTTGGGGTTATGATGCGATGTTATTTTGAGGGCGGTCCCTAGGGATGGCAACGGGTCGGATCTGGACCGGATCCGGATGGACCCGGATGTAGATCCGTTTTTGTGTATAGGATCCAGATCCGACCCGGATCCGTCGGGTCTAGAAAATGAAGACCCGGATCCGGATCCGTCGGGTCCAACGGATCCGGGTCCAAAACGGGTCCAATGTATTTTGTCTAATTTTTTGCAATAAATGTAATGTTCGGGTCAAAAAAATTATTTCAAACTTACGTTGTTGGTTATTAAGTTCAACCCAAAATTAACCAATTTATACACTCATATTTTGAATTAAAATTATAAACAACAAAAAAATACGATGTTTCATATGAGCTAGTGAAAAAACAACGAAGATGTATATAATATGAGCATCCAAAATTCATCTCTTGAAAGGGTTAATCTTTATCATTACTAACATTATCAACATTTTTAATAAAGAAACAAACAATTTTAGTTTTTTCTAATAGGAAAAATAAAAAAAAAACGGGTCCACGGATCTGGATCCGGGTCTAGGACCCAAACCCAGATCCAGATCCGTTTTTGTCAGCAGGACCCGGATTCGACCCGGATCCGTCGGGTCCAAAATTTGAAGACCCAGATCCGTGAAAAACGGATCTGGATCCACGGATCCGGGTCGGGTCCAGATCCATTGCCATCCCTAGCGGTCCCAGCTCCGCCCTTAGGTATGATCCCTCCTCTATTAGTAGGGCCTAGTTTTCTTTTTCCCTTGCTTGTTCTTATTCGATATATGTTCACATTGAGGACAATGTGAAGTTTAGCTTGGGGGAGGGATTACTTTTGGCTTTGGGCAGTTACCTTGTGAATCATGACGATGAATAACTAGTAAACTACTTCTATGTGCCCCTATCCTTGATGATTTAAAGGTTTTTAGCTTGATTTTGATTGAAAGACTTGCAATGCAGATTAAATGATCATGATCTGATATTGGGTTGTCTTGGCCTAATGGAAATCAACTTTGTGCAACTGTGTATGAATCTGGAGCTTGACTATGCTAACTGTGAGACTTGAGCCTTTATTACTTATTTATGTGTGTTAGTTCCTGGTGTGACATTGATCTTAGTTTTGTCTTGAGACTCTTAGTAGTGTGTCATGATAAATTGCACATGCACGATGAGGAAGACAAAGGCCATGTTCATTAGGTAGCCTCCAGATGAATTTAGAAACGTCTGTCCCATTCTTGCTTACCCATGTTGTAGCCTTGTCCATGTTTTTCATCTAAGTCACAAAATTAACCTATCGGCCCCAATTAGTAACTTATCCCAAATCTAGCTTGGGGGAGCCATCTATCTTGGTGTTCTCTATGGTTTGTGATGATGTTTTGGAGAAGATTAATTTGAAGCTTGAAGGTTATTTTTGCTATATGATCTATTTTTTAAGCTCTTATAGTTTGTTATAAAAAAAAAGAAAAAAAAAGAAAAAAAAAGGAAAAAAAACGAAAAAAGAAAAGAAAAAAATTTCAGCTTCTTGAAGGATAAATAAAAGAGCTTCAAAAATAAGAATAGTGTGATGAATTGATTATGTAGGGTGAATAAGGTGGTAATTGCTCTTAATTCAAGTTGTGTTTGGAGTGTGTATTCTTGTGAATTAGTTCAATGGGATTTTAATTTGTATTGTTCATTTTTGATGGCTTCCCTGAGGGACTATATTTGCCTACATTTTCCAAAATTATCCTACCCATTTTCACCCGGCCTACAGTACAAGCTTGAAAAAAGACCTTCTGACCTTCGTGCATAGTATTGTGTTCATGTGAAACGAGTCTTTTGTCAAAATGCTGGAGTATGTGTCACATTTCGAGTCGACTTTTGACTAGGTTGAGCGGCATTATTACCCTCTAAACACACAAGTGTTGTGAGAATGGGGGGTTATTAGTATTAGTGGGGATGGAGAGAGATCGGGCTCATTTTTAGCTCGCCACATAAAATTGTGCGTAGTGACCACTAAGTGAGATATTCTAGTCATCGATTCCTTATGTGTATATGGTTGACTCTGTTTGATGGCCATTCAGGTTGATTGATAGTCTGAATGAGGTGATTGGTTGGCTAGGATGCTTGTGTGTCCGATTTCGATTTCGAGTATGATATTTTCAAATGTATTATGGGGTGAAGTATGTTTATTTGGTTGTTAATAGTCATTGATTGTCTTGCTTGAGGGCAAGCAAGAAGCTAGCTTGGGGGAATTTGATGTACACATTCTATACCATATTTTACCCTCATTTTATAGCAATGTTCGTATGATTTCTAAGCTCTACGGAGCTATTTCTCGCTAATATCCTCCTCTCTAGTGTGGCTTGGTCTATTTGATTAATTTTGTAGGCATATGAAGATTTCCGGATGATTTGGACTTGTTTTGGATAGCCACGAAAGCTTATTAAGATGGAGAAAAATTTTACCCGTGTCCTCCCTAGAGGGCAACATTGCCCTGGCAGCCAGGGCGAAGAAGGAAAGAAGAGAATCCACAAGAGAGAAAGTATGAAGAGTTCAATTTATGTCCGCCCGGACCGGGCAGCATTGCCCGGGCAGCCCGGGCAGACAAGGTACTACACGAGGAGGCTACGTGAAGAAGCATTTGGGAGAGTTTGTCTGTCGCGCCCGACCGGGCAGCCTTGCCCGGTCAGACCTGGCGGAGTGTCAAAGACCTCGTTTTCCTATTTTTTCGGGATTTCTTAACTAAGGGATATAAATACCCTTTGTAAACCCCGACTAAAACATACTTAGTTATTATTTTGCAGCTTTTAAACATTCATTAGAACCCTAATATTCTCTCTAGATCTAGATTAATTTGCACTTTCAAGTTTTGATCTTTGTTCATTAACAATTGGTACTTTTCTTCATTCAAGCAATTGGTATTCATCTTTATTTCTTCTGTTACTTTTGATAACTTATTAATCATGTTTTCTTCATTGAATATTGTTTTTGTTTTCGTTAATATGTGTGAGTTGTATTCTTATTCCAAGGTCTAGCGGAACCCGAATATGATTGATGCATGTTTTAATTCTTTAAATTCTCTAATAATAATTGTAATTGATATGCTTAATTGATTATGCTTATGCCAATACTAGATTAAGGATAATTGGTATTGTTATTAATCCTTTGTTTTAATCGCAACGGGAGTTGGGTTTTGACGGATTAGAATAAATCAATTAAGGGTTTGAAGTTCATCACGGGAGTAGTTGAATGGATGATTAGGAAGTTAGAGTAATGTGTTCAAGGTCTTTAATTTACATGATTCCACGGAAGTAGGCTTGATTGTGATTAGAGAAGCCATTGATAACTCGGGAGAGACCATTGGTATTATTCATGGATTACTTTTCCTCATTAATCAATTGAATTATGTGTTAGGTGTAGAACGACTATTGCATTAATTGTATTCGTGGTGATGCTTGATCTTGGATATTTTTAGCATTGATTTATCATATTGTTTTGATTTAATCGTTTTAATTAGTTCTTTAGTTATTGATTCTCATTCATTTGATTTGGTTACTTGCTTAGTAATTGCTTGAGTCTATTTAATTAGTTGAACCATAGTCTCTTGGGATCCGACCCTTGCTTGCCCGTCTACATAGTAGTGGTCCAATTAGGTTTATTTTTGTTAGGTACGCGACACGCCTATCACTTAAATAGACCCATATTACCCGATCCCCTTCTAATGGGATAAAGCATCCCGGAATCAAAGGTATAGAGAGATCAACTAGCATACGGGCTCTCAACTCTGCCTGTGCAGGCAATCCATTACCCTCGTTATCCAGATCTTCAATGTATCCTACATGACGTAGGATTTGTCTTGCCCAACCTTCTGTTAAATAGGCTAGGGGAAGCCCATAGACTCTTACCCAGATACGAGAGAGAGAGAAGCTAATCTGGTGAGGGACGACGTCTCGTTGATACCTTCTGAGATTGATGATTCTACCATCAATAATAGCCGTGCCAGTTTGAACTAGCCCTCTCAAGTCTCGATTGCTTTCACATTCAAAAAGAAAGTAAGGTCCAGAACGATGAACCCTAATTTCCCCCCTCATTATCCACCGAGAATTGACAATGTGTTGCACGAGTGCTTGACTTGGAGGGTTGGGACCAATGAAAAAGCCAATCACACATGAGTTAAAGTTTATCTTGCTATTATCCAGATCGAAATCTAGAGGTGGGGGAATAAGAGCCCCCCCCCCCCCTTAAATCCAACTCCTGCTGCTCACTGTGAGCGTTGGGGGGGAACTCATGATTGTTCTTATCCATTGTAAAGACAAGAGGAATTAAGCTAGAAATTAAATGAAGACAGAAATTTTCTGAAAAATGACAGATAGAGGAAGAAGAGAAGAGGAAAGGAATAAGGGAAGATGAGCAATAGGTCTGGGAATACTATTGCATTTATAGAACACCTTGAGTTCTGGGGAGATTAATCATAATGGGCATGAAACAAAAGCAAGGAATCTTTTAATTGAGAAGAATAGATGCTAAATGATAGAATGTTTCTCACTTACATGAGATGATTAAATCCACACTATTATAATTAGTGAAGGTGAAGCTTGTTATTATATATTTAATAGAGATTCTTCATAATTCAATCCAATTAAATCAAGAAAGAGCAAGGTCGTAAATGAACACAAGCTTATTTAGCCTCATGTAAATCTACTTTAATTTTTCATTACGACATGCCAAAAGATGACTTGTTTACTTCACCAATTTTCTAGTCTCGACGATGAGACTTGGACAGATAAATACACTAATGTTCAATCCTCAATGTAACCTAAGCCATTAAATCAGCCCCATGAACTTTTCTATGAAATCATCAATCATCATTAACTTTGGTTCTCTATCAATAAAAAAAAAAAAAAAAACTAAATCACCAATCCCCTAAAACAGAGGATTAATCACTTCCAATTACTTCAAAGATGATTTTTTTTTCCTGCTAACAACAAACCAGCAGTAACTATCTAAAACAATTGTACTAGTAAAGGTAAATTATAAAATAGATATAACCAAAAAGATAATGAATAAATAATAACAAGGTTCTAAGTCGCTGATACACATCAAACACTTCAAGAAGTGATTCTAAGCATAAAACAAACATCAAAAGAGAATTTTAAAAATCAATACCCTGTCAGTCTGTCACCCATAAGCTTGATTAATGTCGCGTTTGAGAAGCCAAGAACTTCACGGAAAGTCAAATAATAGACTGGAGATTTCACATATCAGCTTTATCACTTGTCAGTTCTCCTAAAACTCTACATAATGATTAAAATTTAAATTAGAATCATCAGATTTATCACTTGTAATGGTAGATAGCTCTAGAGATAAATAAGTTAAATGTTTTTTTTTAATCTTTTATCTTATCAATTTATGGGAAAACTAATACTTCGTATTATGATTAGAATCTTATGAAAATTTATCAAATAATCCAGACTAAAAACAATTTTATCCATAATCATAAATTGTACGTGTTTGTATGCTTATGTAACTAGTATCCAACATCTATAAATTAATAATTCTACCTCCAAAATTTCATATATTCTTTCTCTTAATAATTATACAGTAGGACCTAAATTTTACGCATTTAATCGCTGTTTGTTACATAGTAAAATTATGAAGATCATAATTGTAACATTGTCAATAATATTGGTGATCCTCAACCTAAAGTCTGTTACCGCAGCTTACAATTATTATGATATGGAGGCGGCTTGGAATATAGCTTGTGATTCAACGGGCGAGTCGACAATTCATATTCCTAAAGGAGAGTACTTTGTTCCAAAATCCCTTAAGTTTTCCGGAAAGGGATGTCAAAGTAGTAAGATTAATTTTGTTATTAACGGTACCCTTAAAGCCCCTAGTGATTTTCGAGTGCTTCAAAACTCAAAAACATGGGTGTTATTTGAGCATGTCAATGGCCTTACACTTTCTGGTGGAGTGTTTGACGCAGCAGGAGCTAAGTTATGGAATTGTAAGCGATCTGGAAAAGAAGCACTTCCTCGTGGTGTGGAAGTAAGTTATTTATTTTCTACATAAAGTAATGCTCTAATTTAACTAGTACGTACCTATTATTATTTTTACATTAAAGATCTTTATATGTTATTTGATCTCAGTCCTAAAATTATTATGTAACTCGACATAGTACTCAAAACGTACTTAAGGCCACACAAATTAATACTTCGTAAATAATTTTAAAAGAATTATATTAAAAAAAATTTAATTAGTTTTATTTAATCTTTTACCTTCTAGCATTATTAGGATTTGGGGTTGTTATTCCAATATATAGTCATATATTGTACACCGTGGTAACTTATTCTAAAGAGCTTGTGATTATGAATTTATTTTTTTCCGCAAATTAATATTTAATTTTTTTTTTTAGGAAAATATTTAATTTGTTTAACGTAACCCTTTTTTATCTTTTATTTTATTATCACATGCTTTAAAATATTAAACTGATTTATTTATTTTTATTAATCTATAGAATATATTAATCTGTTTTTTTATATTAATACAACAAATTTTTTTTTTTAATTGCAGAGTTTAGGTTTTGTAAATTCCCAAAATATTGAAATAAATGGTATAACCTCATTAGACAGTCAATTGCACCATATTGTTATTGATGATTGTCAAAACGTGAAAGTGAAAGGGGTTACGATTTCTGCCTCGGGCCATAGTCCTAACATCGATGGTATTCATGTACAATCATCAATTGATGTAACAATATCGAGTTCGAACATTGCTACACGGAACTAAAAATTTGTGGATTCAAGATATCACATGTGGTCCCGTTCATGGTATAAGTATTGGGAGTTTAGGAAAAACGTTACATGAAGCAAAAGTTCACAATGTCAGATGGATTTGTTAGCGATGTTGTGTTTCAGCATCTCACAATGGAGAATGCTCGAAATCCAATTATCATTGACCAAAAATATTGCCCCAATCATAAGGATTGTCCTGGAGAGGTATATTAGACTATATTTTTATGTTCAAGATCTTATTTAAATTTTTTATTTTAAATCTTATAAAATGATTTTTCTTATTTTTTTGTGAATGCTGTGAAATTTCATTGTAGCCCAAAACATCGTTGTTTGGGCATAAAATTGAAGAATATAAAGTTGACTCACAAGAACAAGCAAGCTTCTTCTTTTGGAAATGTTCAACCTAAAAGTTGTTTCAATTAATTTTTATATACACTTTATAATACAAAAAAATATGTAGTTTGTTTATAACTTTAATGAATATTGTGAAAAACACGTTTAGATTATAAAGTTTAAACCTTCAAAGTTGAATACATACCCCTCTAGTTTTTATGAACTCTTACCTTACCCAAAGAATACTTTTTCATATTACATAATTTGTAAGAGCTCCATCATAACTTATTCTATTTTGATCTATCTATAAGGTTTAGAGTAATTATTTATTAGTGGTGACTATATAATATAGCTAGTCTCAAAAAACGAAACTTTGTACACTTTCCTTTACAATTTTATGAAAGGGCCTGGTTCACATTAAATTTTATGAAAACATGGAGTGTCTGAGAGGTTTGTTGTATATTGGCCAACATATCATCAGGAAGAGAACTCAGTTTGTCCTCCTTGCTCACCATTCCCCTATTGAGAACTCAATTTCACTCCTTTGTTTCTTCTAAATTCTCCAACATCTCTATTTCGTACAACGTATTATATAAGCGGGGGTTAGGTAATTGTGTCCTTTAAACTGCGCCGTATGACCTAGTGTTAATACTTAAGAAAAAATAAGAATTATTCAACATTATATTACTATAAAATCTATTCAAAAAAAAATATTACTATAATATTATTGACTTTAAATTATTGACTACCATACAAGGTAAAAACACTAATAATGGGAGTTAAGATAACAAATGGTGTTAAAATTACATATATAATGGGAGTTAAGATAACAAATGGTGTTAAAATTAAGATAACCCACTGGAAAAACACAATATCTGAAGTTAAGAAGCCCTTCAGAAACTTGAATTTATATTCCTGCCATACTAGCTTGAGCTTTTTTACATACATTGTTGGTTCAAACATCTATGAACCAACAATGGTGTTCCTTCAGACCCCCAACCAAAGTCTCTTTCCCCAACCTCTCTAGCACAACAATTTCTAAATTTTTTGCTCCTCCATTTCTTGGCAACAATGGTGTATTTTTTTTTTTGTATACACGAAGTACTAGTACTACAAGCATTCTCTTGTAGAAAGGCAACAAAACGAGAGGAAAAAGGCTTTAAGTTCAGTACATGTGAGTTGTAGCAAAAGAGCAATTACAATTGATCAAAATAATAGAATTTCTCCTATTATTAGTAGACGAAACCTGTGGGGATAAAAGCGAAAGTTTGTTATCTTAATTACAAAAAATAACAGAGAGATTGCAAGAGAAGAGACCAGCTACTGCCTCTCTGCCACCCTTTCTACGAGAAGCAGATCCCTACGCAGTGTTACCTAATACTCTTATATATCCCCTACATACAGTTTATTAGCCGAACAATAATACAACAACAGTGATGCTTGGTACAATTTAGGTAGCTAATTGCATAGAACTCTGGCTTCACATAATCATCATATGGTTATCAATTCCATCAGATTAATATTTCAACTAGCCTCCCCTGAGTCCAACAAATTAAGCTTAATCATCAACATTCATTTAAAGCCTTTCACATACAGGGAGTAAATCTTGACATTCAAATTAACCTTAATCATCAACATTCATTTAAAACAAACTTTATCTACTGACTAGTACTGTTTTTAACCTTGCTAATTAATTGGAGGAGAAAGCTCACTGGAAAGTATTGTTTACACCATTAATGAGATATTTTATCAACAGAGCTTATTCAACAACGGCGGAAAGCAGACAAAAAGAAGCTTCCGTCTTATTGAATCATATGATTTCCCGGGTTGACCGATCTAAATGCCAACACCCCCATCCAGGGCTAATCATAGCCTCTCATACCTTCAAAGAGCCATACTTCGCAAACTTTTAAAGGAGTCCTGTGTCTTTGAGACCCTCAATTGTCCTGACAAGCCAAAAGCTTAAGTGAAAACAAACACGAAATATTTTCTTGTACATTAAACAAACATTATCATAATAGTTCATGCCTAGTAACATTTTAAAGTTGACACAAATGTAACACATTGGTTGAAAGCAAAAACTAAACTTGATTTATTAAAACAAATTCAAAAAGAAATCTAGTAGTCAGTACCTGCCAGCCATATGCATCCTTCAATGGTGGAAGACTGCTGTCAATGAACCTTACAGATAAGCTTTCCGTTTTTGAAATCAAGATCACTTGATGACCTAATAAATCTGCCAGAAAACTCAACATCACAAGTTGATGAGCTCCTTGGAAGCTTAAACAAGGATATACAAAACTCACGTTCCTTCCAGAGTTTTTCTTGTTCAGAATGTCCATCAAACCAAGCATCCAAGTAAAGCTTTTCCAAAACTTTTGCATTACCTAGAATGTACCCTAGCAACTTGAGCACACCAATACTCCCACTAAGTCGTAGTCCCTTTATCTTTATCGTCTTGAGCTTACTTATCAAACAACTAGGTACAATATCTGGTGCACACAAATTCCTCTGCCCCATTTTGCTACAATAATCCATATCATACAGCTTTACCCAAAGATGCTTCAAGTTGGGGAAGCATTGCAGCGAAACCAACAAATCCTTGCAATCATTAAGATCAAACTCCAACAAGGTTGTTTTAAGACGCACTAGATTAAAAAAGATGGGCTGATTCACATTCACACAAAGATACACGAATATATTAAAATGCCTCTCCACCAATATCTTAAGGTTGCTGATACTATACATTCCTCTAAAAAATTCGGAGAACCGGTGAAACTCCTCCTCATCATCAAAATCAAATTCATCCTCTTCTTCCTCCCTCTTCAAGTCAATACAAGCTTCGACTAATGCAGTTGGATTACTGCGAAAGGTGTAAGGTAAAGTGCAATCATAGCTATGACCTATTTCAAGGTGTGTCAATTTGGGTGCATCAATAGATATCTGAGAAACACGCGATGTACTCACAGTGCGAACCTCTAACTTCAATGTCTTTAAATTTGGGAAATTAAGATTCAGAATAGGCATTCCAAAATAAGGCTGGTCGAGATCAAACATCAAAGTTAAGTCTTCTAATAACGGCGAAGATTCAGATAAAGACCCCAACCAAGTAGGCACTTCATGAAGAGAGCGTAAAGAAAGTTTCTTCAGATTAGGAAGTTGAAGTTTAACAACTCTATCTTTATTCCAACGCTCAAACTCAAGCATACCAAATAATTCCAGAATTACCAGAGATTGGCAACTAAGCAAACAAGCAGGTATTGGAATGTAATAGTCATAATCTTCCCCATTAAAGATCAATTGCTGAACATTTCGGCGGCAAATTTCATGAAAGCACGATTCTAATTCATCAGGTAGATATGAAGAGTTTATGGACCTGACCTTAATTTTGAATGCGTCGATTTTCGGGGAAGTAAGCTGTTGTAGAATGTTGTTAAGGAAGTCGGTGGGGTTTGGTGTTTTGACATTGTAGAGATCAAAGCGAGTGACGCCGGTCCAGAGGTGGCGCCAATGGCGGGATAAGACGGAGGTGGAAGCGGCGGAATTGATTGGAAGACGAGACAGAATATCGGTAAGGATTGGGTCAGGAAGTGAACTCAATCGATCTTCTCCATCATCGGTTGAACTCCTGCAATGTCGTCTGACAGGGTTGAGGCTATGCCGGTGCATATTTTCGGCCATATTTTCCTGAATTGGTATGATGTATGAATTTCAGGCTTATAATTACGGAAGAGATCAATCATCAATGCTAAATCTTCTACTAATAATTGAAATGATGTATGAACAGCTCTTTTATTATGCCAATCATACTCAAACTCAAGAACACCAAACAATATCAAAATTACCAGAGATTTTCGATTAAGCAAGCAAGTAGGTATTGGAAATAATTCAACATGTTCATTTTCCGCATTATATATAAATGAATTGCTGTACATTTCGGCGACAAATTAAGATTCTATTTCATCAGGTTTAAGTAAGTAGGTTATGGAATCAACCTCAATTTTAATTAACAATTTACAATTAAAAAAATTAAAAACTAAACCTGAATCGTCGTCTGTCGAATTGAAGAGAGAAGGCGAGCAGCCGACTGCCGGAGGACGGCCAACGGCGGATCTTCAATGAGAGTGAGGAGAGAGGAAGAAGTTAGGGATTTAAACTTTTTTCTGAAATTAAATTGGGGGATGAATTTTAAAAGAACCAAAAAAAAAGGTGCTGGGTTTCGAACAGCTAACTTATGTCTTACAAGTAATAAGTAAGAAAATTTACCAGTAGAATGCTCGTTATATAGCAAGTGGGTTAGCGCAGAGTTTACTACTTATAGCTATTAATTTTTTATTTTATTTTTTTTAATATTTTTGTTAAAAAAACCTATTCATTTTTTCGGATCTAATATAGGTTCAACTAGAACCGTTATTTCCATTGACATACTATAAACCTCTAAAATTTGGGGAGCAACATTCAGATAGTTTTAACTTAGTAGTGAATTTTTCTTCAAAAAAAAAAAAAAACTTAATAGTGAATTTATTATGTAACATTAACATACTCTCGATGCAACAATTCAAATTTACAATATAAGTAACACAGTTTTAACTTGGTGTGCCACTACTATTGAAAAAGAAAGAATATAGGCGGATTTTGGGGGTGGCCTGCCTAGGTCATCATCCGGCCCATGACCCTAAAAAATAATAAAATTCACATTCTCCATTATTTATGTTATCCACCATTGTTCCCCCTCCAATTAAATTACCACAAATTGGCTTCATCACCATCAATTAACATCATTTTCAATCAATCTAAGATTAATTTCTACACAAAAAATATATATTATTTATTGATGAATAAGGCCTTATTCACTTCACCTTAAAAAAAATAATTTCAATTCAGTAAACTTCAGTTATCTTAAAGAAGAATTATAATAGAAAATCAGTAAAAAATAATTTCAGTTCAACAAAATAATTTCAGTGCAGTAAAATTAATTTCAGTTCAACAAATATAATTTTGTTTCAGTAAAAATAATTTTAATTCAACAAAAATCAGGTGAAGTGAACGGGGCCTAAATCTGGGTAGAATTGGTTTTAGGATGATATAAATTGGGGAATATTAGAGGAGCGAAGACGGCGGTTGCAAAGTGATTTACGGCGTCGTCGCCTAGTTAGAGGAGAGAGAAGAAGTAATGGGGATAATGGCAATAGCTTATTATTTTGTTGGAGTGGATAAATGAAAGCATTTTTATTTCTCAAGTAAAGTTGGTTAAATTACCACTTATGCCATTAATGAAGTGGGCTAAATCTCAACCATTGGATTTGACAAATTTAAGGGTTGTAATTGCTTCTCACCCTTCTCACATCAAAAATATACTTCATGTACTGTTATGTAATAATGAATTTCGATGTTCAATAATAGTTGTAAAAATAAATGATTGATTTTTTTTTAAAAAATAAAACAATGACCCTAGATATTATTCGGGCCAAAAACTAGTACAGAGTAGAGCAAAATAATTATGAAAATTGAAAAGAAACCAAATATCGAATCCGCTTATCTGAGTTACATACTGGTTAGAGTTATGTTATTCCTCTTGTCATTCCTCTTATCTCCATATTCTACAATTTAGCAGATACTTCATATCGAGCGACAAAGATTGAAGTTAAAAGTCTTAGTTGATCAAGGACACATGCAATTGTAGAATATGGGCATGAAGCAAATGCAAGGATTCTTTCAATTGAGACGATTATAATTAGTGAAGCTTTATATATATTTATAAATATCCTTCATATTTCAATCCAATTAAATTTAACCATAAAAGAGCAAAGTCGTAAATGAACACGGGCATGATGAACATAAGCTTATTTAGCTTAGCCTCATGTATAGTTTAATTTTTCATTATGACATGCCAAGACTCAAGAGACAACTTGAATTGTTTGCTTCACCAGTTTTCTAGTCTCGATGATGAGACTTGGTCATATACTTACACTAATGCTCATTCCTCGATGCGACCTAAGCCATTAAATCAGCCCCATTAACTTTGCTAGCTAGGTTTTCTATGATATTATCAATCATCATTAACTTTGGTTCTCTGTCAATATTAAAGTAAGCTGTGGTAGGATGTTGTTGAGGAAATCGGTGGGGTTTGGTGTTTTGACTTTGTAGAGATCAAAGCGACTGACCCCGGTCCAGAGGTGGCGCCAACGGTGGGATAAGAAGGAGGTGGAAGCGGCGGAATTGATTGGAAGGCAAGAGAGGATTTCAGTGAGGATTGCGTCTGGAAGTGAACTCAATCGATCTTCTCCATCATCGGCGACAAATTAGTGTTTGCCTAGCAAACCGGGTACCCGGTTAAAATTTTAGGACCCGGACATGGAATTGATTAGAACCAGGTCCTAAAATTCGGATTCGGAATTGGAATTGGTTCAACCGGATCCTAAAAATTATGAATTGGCCTGGTATTGGAACCACCGGGTACCGATTCCGGTTCCAGGTGTCCACTTATGTATGTAATTGTTAAAATATAATACAAATTATAATTCTTATTTTAGTTAGGTTCATTTTTAGCGTTTAATAATATTTACATATGCATTAAGCTATTTGTATTTATGTTAGGTATTAATGATACTTTTTTAATTTATAAATTAGATACATTCTACATATTTTTATTATTTATAAAAAAAAAAAAATTTAGTTTAGCATATATATTAGGTAACCAGGTACCCAACCGGTTCCGGTTCCAAAAAGTTGAGAATTGAAATTGGAATTGGAATTGGTTATTATCGGGTCCTTAATTTATTACCCGGAATTGGAACCACCGGGTGCAATTCCGATTCCGGACCCGCTGGTTCCGGTTCCAATTCCGGGTATCCGAAATTTTTGCTCACCCCTATAAGTGAGTAGGTTATGGAATCGACCTCAATTTTAATTAACAATTAACAATTAAAAAAAATAAAAACTAAACCGGAGAATTGAGCAGCCGACGCCGGTCGACGGCCAACGTTGATCTGAAAGTGAGGAGAGAGGAAGAAGTTAGGGTCTCAAACTTTTAATAAATTGAGTGTTGATTTTTTCTGTGATTGGGAATTGGGGAACGAGTTAAAACATACAAACAAACAAAACAAAAAAAAAAAAAAAAAAAAAAAAAAAAAAAAAAAAAAACAAAGAAATTGTTGGGATTCGAACCTTTTGTCTTTAAGATGGTTTTTAACTTAATAGTGAATTTATTATGTAACATTGACATACTCTTGATGCAACAATTCCAATTTACAATATCTACAACATAGTTTTAACTTAGTATGCCACTGCTATTGACAAATTCTTGATGCAACAATTTCAATTTACAAAAGATGTAACATATAATTATTGCTTTTCACTATCTTAATTTTCTTTTCTTTTTTGGGTAAAGAGGACCATGACCAGACTACAACCCTCACTGTTTTTTCCCAATTTTTTGGGCTAGGTTTTAGGGGTAAAGAAGAGGTTAAGGGAACCGCTATCCCAACTCCCCAAGCACCCTCACTTAGTTGGAATCGAACCCCAAGCCTCTATGATCTAAGGTAAGAAACTTACAACACTTCGTTGATATCTTATTTTCCTTATTATCATGTAAAATTGCCAAACATAACCTTCTTTTGAGAACGAATTTAAAGGAGTAAAAATAAAACATGACAGTCTACAAAATGAATTAGAATGCACTTTTTTGACACAAGAAAAGCGACACTTAAAATCAAGCAAGGTTATGTTATGAAGATATTCAAACATGAAAATGACTACTCCCTTTATCCCTTAATGTATGACATGAAAATGACTAGTACCTTTTCAGTTATATATTCAAATAACTTGCATGACTATGCAATTCGGTTTTAACTTACAGATTTGGATCCCCTCAAAAAAAAAAAAAAAAAAAAATCAAAGATTTGGATTTACAATGTCAAATTTCAAGATTTATTAGTGTATTGTCAATCTTATTAAAGTACTTCCTCTTTTATTTTTTTTTTTTTATTTTTTTTTGGAAACGAGTTACTCACATCATTATTGTAATTGCAGAATTTTAAACATTTTTCGAGTAGAGAAAGATTAAGATAATTTATATATAAAATAAAAAGTGATGCATCAAAATTGAAACTTCCTTTTATAAAAAGTGATGCATCAAATAAAAAATGGAAAAAAAATACTCCCTCCGTCTCCCATTGATAGTCACTTTTGTCATTTTTAGTGACCCAAAATGTTAGTCACATTTGTTTTTTTCAAGTACCATTAATATTATTTTTTTTTACCAAAATTATCTCCCTTTTGCAAAAATATTTGTGCAAATTTAACTTTCCCATGTAAATTTTACTTTCTCATGTACTTTAATTACTTTCTTTCTCTACTTTTTTCCATACCCAATGTAAATTTACTTTTTCAATGTACTTTTGCTACTTCTTATTTATGTTTATTAATTCCCGTGATTTTCTACCAAAAGTGACTATCAATAGGAGACGAAAAGAGTAATAAAATTTGAACTAGTACCCACATCATGTGCAGATATAGGGCTAGTATACACAGCTTGAAGTCTTCACATGGGCTAACTTACAAAGTTAATTACCCGAGCCCATAGCCCCATAATATAAAAGTTGGGCCTTAAATAAATATTAGTACTTGAAAATCCCAACAAAATTAAGCAATAAAGTATGAAGTTTATTTCAAATGACATGAGGCAAAGTGCTCTCAATCTGTTTCCAAGCTTTATGGGTAATATATGAACATGAAAACATCAATTACTCATTGGCCATGTTTGGTAATTGGCTTTTTGGTTAGCTTTTGACTTTTTTAGGTGGTCAAACATCAAAAAAATGTGTTTTGTAATTAGCTTTTTAGTAAGCGAAAAAGCTGGCTTTTAAGACAAAATAAAAAAACTGCTTTGAGTACTTTTTTGTTGGCTTTTGGCTTGTTGGCCCACAAATTATCTAATAAACAGCCAACAACCAACAATTAATTTACCAACACTTTTATAAACAGCCAGCTTAAACAGCCAATTTCAAAAGCCATTATAAACAGCCAAACATTCCAGCTGGTCAAACAAGCCAAGTGAACCAGCCAACAGCCAACAGCCATTTGCCAAACAAGGCCATTATCTTACATTGCGTATAATCTAATGACTAATGATGTGTATGTTTATCTTTTACTAATACCGTTGCTCGTAACTAAATTATTAATACAAATTTTTGATGCGGCTGGCCACATGGTGCGACAGGACTACTTATTGGGTGTTACTGGTTTTGTTAGGGGTTACTTGTATTCTGGGGTTACTTGTATGGATGTTACTAGTTTTGGTCAAGGGTTACTTGTAGGGTGTTACTGGTTTTGTCAAGGGTGACTTATAGGTGTTACTTGTTTCATGAGGTTACTTGCACGGGTGTTACTGATTTTGGTCAGGGGTTACTTATAGGATGTTATTGATTTTGTCAGGGGTTACTTGTAGGTATTACTTGTATTCTGGGGTTACTTGTAGGGTATTACTGGTTTGGTATAGGGTTTTGGTCAAGGGTTACTTGTAGGAGTTACTCAGAATACAAGTAACACCTACAAGTAACTCATACAAGTAACCCCACGATACAAGTAACCTCATAATACAAGTAATACCCTACAAGTAACCCCATAATACAAGTAACCCCATAATACAAGTAACCGTAGAATACAAGTAACACCTTATAAGTAACCCCTGTCGCACTGAAAAACCTCTGAATTATTAATATTAAAGAACTAATAGAAGTACGGAGTATAATTCTGCCTGCGAGGCCAACAGTGGCTCACTAGGATGTCACTTAATCAAATACAATGGAACAAAAAAATGCTAGGGAGAACTCCGTTATAAACTTGGAGTAACAATAACAGCTAGTTCTATCAAAGAACAAGTAATAATTATGAGAGCTGATTGCATAGCATGGCTTAGATGCTACTATTCATAATCACTAGAAAAAATACAATCTCTTGGAAGCTTGGAAAAGGCTTCACTGGACTTATATTTCTTCCGCCGATCAAGCTTCCTTGCATACATTGTTGATCAGAACATCTATGAGGAACTCCACAATAATTGTCGACCAAGTTCTTTTTTCCCCAATCCCTCTGCCCCTCTCTAGCACAATATCTTTTAATTGGCTTCTTTTTTTGGCTAGTCTACTATACACGAAGTACTACTATATTAGTAACTACAAGCATACTTTTATAGCAATAAACAAACATCAAGCAACAAAAGGAGAGGAAAAACGCCTAGTTCAGTATATGTGACCTGTAGCAAAATAGCTCGTGGATGATCACAGAGAACATATTTTTAAAGATGGTTGCAATTGATCAAAATGATAGTACAGTTTTCTCCTTGGTAAATGTATCATGGAGTATTGAAAAAGGCAAACTATAGCATAACAGGGTAGTATTTGGCCAAATTTAACAAATTATGTAGCTAATTGCATCGCTTACTCGTACTAGGTAGCTCTGGCTTCACAGAATTTTCAAATGGTTAATAATTCTATGAGATTGATATTTCAACAAGCCCCCTTGAGTCCAACTAATACTAATTAAGCTTAATCATCAACATTCATTTTAACTTTAGCTCAAACATTTTAAATAGATAGAGTGATAGACAGAGTATATCTTGAGCATATTTTTTAAAACAAACTGTACACAGACCAGTGCTGCTTTCTGAGTACTATGGATTTCAGACCCTCAATTGTCATGAAAAGTTTAAGCTTGGTGATAACAAACACGAATTACTTTCTTTAAAACTGACATTACAAGAACATTAGTAGTTCAAGTTCCTTAGCATTATAAAATTGACATGCATAAGCCTAAACAATTCAAGTAAGAAAATACAGAATAAACCATAACCATACCATATAGACCGAGAAGCAAAAGATCAGATCCTGACTTTACATTAGCCATTGTCCTAGTAGAAAGAAAGGCAAATTTACAGTTTCATAGCAAGCTAAGGCTTGTACATTGACACAAACCTAACACATTGATTGAGAAGTGTTTGTAAGCACAAACCAAACTAAATTTATCAAAGCAGATTCAAAAGGAAATTTAGAAGTCAGTACCTGCTGCCTGCTGGCCATATATATGCATCCATAATTTTGGAAGAATTTGTCATTGAAAGGTAAGCCTTCCATTTTTGAAAGTATTACTTGAAGATGTAATAAACCTACCCGAAAACACCACCTCACAAGTCGATGAGCTCCTTGGAAGCTTATACAAGGACCTACAGAACTCACATTCCGTCCAGAGTGTTTCTTGTTTAGTACGTTCATGAAACCAAACATCTTCTAAGTAAAGCTTTTCCAAAACTTTTGCATTACCTAGAATGTACCCTAGCAACTTGAGCCCACCAATACTCCCACTAAGTTGTAGTCCCTTTATATCTATCGTCTTGAGCTTACTCATCAAACAACTAGGTACAATGTCTGGTGCATGCCAATTCCTGTGCTTCATTTTGCTACCATAATCCATTTCTTCGAGCTTTACATGAAGATGCTTCAAGTTGGGGAAGCATTGCAGCGAAACCAACAAATCCTTGCAACCATTGAGATCAACCCTATCCAAGGTTGTTGTAAGATGGACAAGATTTGAAAACATGAGCAGATTCACATTCACAGACAGGTCAGTGAATACATTACAATACTGCTGCAACTTTAGTTCAAGGTTGTATATACTAGACATTCCTCTGAAAAATTCAAAGAACCAGTGAATCTCCTCATCCTCATCCTCATCTTCAACTTCATCTTCATTTTCATCTTCAACTTCATCTTTATCCCTATAATAGAAGTTAATGCACGCTTTGACTAATGCAGTTGGATTATGGCAAAACTTGTAGGGTAAAGGCCCTAAATGGTAACCAAATATATGATTTATTTGAAGGTGTGTTAATTTGGGTGCATCAATAGATATCACATCAACACCCGGTTCCTCATAACAAGCCTCAACCATCAAATTCAAAGACTTTAAATTCGGGAAACTAAGATTAAGAAGAGGCATTGTGTTTGGAAGCTGCCTATAACCAAAGAGAGCAAACATCAAAGTTAATTCTTCCAACAATGGTGAAGATTCAGATAAAGAATCTAACCAAGGAGGCACTTGTCGAAGGTAGCAGAAAGTAAGCTTCTTCAGATTAGGAAGTTTAAGTTGAACATCTCTATTTTTATTTTTCTCCCAATCATACTCTAGCGAACCAAACAATTCCAAAGTTACCAGAGATTGACAACTAAGCAAGCAAGTAGGAACTGGAAAGTATTTATCACAATACTCTTCTCCATTACAAATCAATTGCTGTACATTTCGGCGGCAAATTTCATGAAAGAATGATTCTAGTTCATCAAGTTCAATAACTAAAGTAATTATGGACCTGACCTGAATTTTGAACACGTCGATTTTCGGGGAAGTCAGATGCATTAAGATGTTGCTGACGATGCTGAGGAAGTCGGGAGGGTATCGTGATTTGATATTGTAGATCTCAAAGCGAGTGACTCCGGTCCAGAGGTGGCGCCAACGGCGGGATAAGACGGAGGTGGTAGCGGCGGAATTGATTGGAAGGCAAGATAGGATTTCGGTGAGGATTGCGTCAGGAAGTGAACTCAATCGATCTTCTCCGTCATCGGTTAACCTCCTGCGCCGTCGTCTCACAGGGTTGAGTGTATGCTGGTTTTCGGACATGTTTTTTTGTTGTGGTGTTTGCAAAGGTGGTTTTTGAGTCAAGAGACCAAAGGGGAATAGGGGATGGGATTTGTTAAACATCGCCCACAAATTACTACATAAAGCCCGTATTTTATAATTTTTTGACAAATTTGCCCTTTTTATAATTTTAACCGAAAACAAATTTTTCGCACTAAAAAAATGTGGATCACCGAAGAGACGTCGTCGGCGGCGATATGCACCGGAGAGTCGCCATCGTCGCCGGAAAACGAGGTTCGTAACGTATCGTAAGGACGAAATGGTGGCTGGCGCCTAGCCGAGAAGGCCATGCCGTGGTTGTGGCGCCTAGCCAGGACGCCGCCACCGTGGCATAGGCGCCTGGTGGGGAAGCCTCACCCATGGGAGTGGCGCGTGGCCAGGACGCCGGAGCCACGGCCGGGGCGCCTGGCCAGGACGCCGCCACCATGGCGGCGGCGTCCTAGCCAGGCGCCCCGGCCGTGGCTCCGGCGTCCTGGCCAGGCGCCACTAGGGGCTGCTTTAAAATTTTATTTTATTTTTAATTTAATTTCTCTTTTTTTTTTTTTTTTGATTTTTTTTTTTGTTTGTTTGTTTGTTTTTGTTTTTTTTTTTGATTTGTTTTTTATAATTATGTTTTGTTTATGGATTTTTGTTTGCGTTTGTTTAATTTTGTTTTGATTTTTTTTTTAATTAAATTTTTTTTAATAAAGTTTTTTTAATGCATCTTTTAAACCAAAACAAAAAACTCACAAAACTTAAAAAATATAAAATTATAAAAACTTAAAAAAAGAAGAACATCAAAATTTTAAAAAAAAAATTTATAAAAAAAAAAAGGAACATAAAATTTTTTTTAAGTAAAAAAACAAATTCAAAAAAAAAAAAACAAAAACAATAAACAAGAACATAAAATTAAAAATTAAAAAAAAAAAAAGAGGAACATAAATTTTTTTTTAAAAAAAGCAACAAAATTTAAAACAAAATAAAAAAAAAATCAGAAACATAAAATTTAAAATTAAAAAAAAAAGAAAAACAAATTTTAAAAAAAACAAAAAAAAAAAAATTATTTTCGAAAATAAAATTTCAAATTTAAAACCAAAAAAAAATTAAAAAAAAAATATATAACGAGGCGCCTAGGCCAGACGCCGTGACGGTGGCGGCGGCGCCTAGCCCAGACGCCACCACCACGGCGGCGGCGCATTGGCCAGACGCTGGTGCCGTGGTGGTGGCGTCTGGGCTAGGCGCCGCCGCCACCGTCACGGCGTCTGGCCTAGGCGCCTCCGCCGTGGTGGTGGCGTCTGGCCTTGGCGCCGCCACCGCCTCCGAACTTTTTTTTTTTATTTTTTAAAAACAAAATTAATAAAAAATACCTTCTCGCCGGAAAACCGCTGTCCACCCGCCGCCGGTGCCGCCACTTCCTTGCCGGGCCGCCTCGACATCGCTCGGAAAGTTTTTTAGAGAGAGAAAGTGGAAGTAGAGAATAGAGAGAAGAAATTGTGTTTTTTACTTTGAGGGCAAAAGTGTCATTTCACTCTAATTTTGTGGGCTTTATGTGGAGATTTGCGGGCGATGTTTAGCAATCCACATAGGGGATTTGTCAGTTTGGAAGAAGAATGAATTTGAACTTGTATTTTGTGGGAAAAAAAAATTGTACTACCTCCGGTTCATTTTACTTGCAACAAAGGACAACTTTACGCAAACCTAGACAAAACTTTTAGGGGGCGTTTGGTTCGCAGAGTGGTATAGATTTGGAATCAGGATTAGGGTTAAGGTGGTATCGGGTTGAAACTTGATACTTAATACCATGTGTTTGGTTTAATTTTGGAATGAAATATCATCCCTTAATTTCATATATTTGATACATAAGGGAATGAAATGAGCCAAACCCACCTTTCCCCCAAGGTTTCTAAACCTCATACCTCATGGGTTTGAGGTATGGGTTTAAAAATTATATTTTTTACAGCCAAACATATGGTATGGGTTTTGGTCATTCTAAACCCATATCTAATACCTATAATCCGCGAACCAAACACCCCCTTAAGGGGCTTTAAGCATGTGAAGATTAAGTAATTAATGGAGTAAAATAGAAGGGAAACCATGTGGAGTCTTTTTTTAATAAAGTAAAAGTAGTGGGAAAAATTGGTGAGGTGAAATTTTCCCACCCAAATTATTCTGACTTTTCAAATGGGTGGGAATTCCCTCCCCTTTTTTTCAGCCAAATTGAGGAGGGAGTCCCTTTTTTTTTTATGCTTTCCCACAAAATTCCCTCCCAAAATTTCAAGGCAATTTTATAAAATTTGCCAAATACCCCAAAACCTGAACTTCATACCATTCAATTATTCAAATCAAATCCCCTTATAAAAAGAGGAGTTTCCAAACCACATTACTGTTTGTTTATCAACACTAATTAGTAATTACCATAAAATGTCATATACTAGATATAGGCAAACTGGATGGCAAAGTCACATAAATTGTAGATTATAAAATCATTGAAATTCTTGCTTTTCGAGAGAAAAGAAAAACATTCAAAATTCATTGAAATTAACTTCAAACAAAAGTTTCTACTTCCTCTGTTCTTTTATTATTGCATCACTTGCCTTTTTAGGAAGTTTCACATATATTGCACCATTTCCTCTTTTAGAAAAAAATTATTTGTGTTCACACTGCAAATACCCAACATACTCTTGCTTTTTCAAACTTACTTTTTAATTTATCAATATGTCACATTGGCAATTTTGTATTTTTACATTTCTTTTACTTTTTTCCATTACCAAAATAATTGTACCCAACCCCTATGCTGCAATAATAAAAAAACGGAGGAAGTATATCTTCTTAAAAAGATCAGTCGCATCATCTTCTTCATCACTCTAGACATTCAATGGTTGTTATCAATCTCTTGGTCCATATCTTCCATAGCATCATCGAACGACTCACTTGCATCTCCCACTACAACAAAGCAACAAAAAAACTATATTAACAAGTCGACAACCTAGCTTACAAACTGAACCACACATGCACATAAAAAAAAAACAAAAAAAACAAAAACAAAACACAAAAATAAAAAAAAAACAAAACACAAAAGCACCAGATTTCTCCATACTACCCATATTTCATAATATTATTAAAAAAGAGATTCGCACTCAAGTCAATTTTTTTTTTTTAAAAAAAAAAATAAATAAAAACAAAAAAACTTAACTACTCACTTGGAAAGTTGCAAAAATAAAACTTTGTTAGCCAAAAAAAAAGTTTACTTCCTAAACACCATGTCACACTACCACGTGGCCTGCTACATTAGCGGGAACTGCCACGTGGTAGCAAGGGGGGGGACAACAGTATGCAGGGATCAAAAGCAGGGGATCAGCAGAAGAGAGTGGGGGCAGCAGCAGGGAAGCAACAGAAAGGAGAGGGGCAGCAGCAAAAGAGGAGAGCAGGAGGGGAAGTAACAGCACGAGAGCAACAAAAGAGGGGCAGCAGGAGCATTAGGGGAGAAATTAGATATATATACATTTTATGGTAAGAAAATGAATATCAAGACAGCATCGACAAAGAAGAACCCAAATTCTTCATCCCAAGACTAAATCACTTTGTTTCTGATAATTCACTAAGAACTCATGTTAACCATAAAAATTAGATACACAAATTCCAGATAAAAATTACTCAGACATTAATCATTAACATAAAATAAATGAATGCATGCTTCCATAAAGACATATCAAACCATATAAATGCCCCTCCTGAATCAGAACAAGAACAGCAAACAATAGTCGGCATATCAAAGAGCAAAATTCAACCTTTCATAAGACTAAATTGTTCTGCATTAGTCTATAATTTTTTACTAGAATTTTAGAACTTAAAGTTTTCTTAGTTTTAATTAAGTAGGTAGTTTTGTTTTCTTTCTTTCTTTCTTTTTTTTATTTTATTTTATTTTATTTTATTATTTTTTATTATAGCTTTTCCAATTTTCCCCCTCTTTTTATTTGCTTCTGTGTTTCTATGTGATTGCAGGTGGTTGAAGTTGCCATCCACGATCATCAACTCACCAAGAAGGCATCACAAGCAACATAGGCAGATTGGTCCGCAAGCACCCTGCGGAGTGCAGTAGTCAGCCGCAACCAGCCTGCGGCTGGTACCTGATGCTTAATAAAGAAAAAAAAAAATAGAGAGAGAGAAGAGTACTGCTGCGAGGACAGAGTAGTCCGCAATCAGGTTGCGGCCCATGACGCTCCACCGCAGCCATAACGCGGTACAGAGTTCGCAAGGTATTAAAAAATATATATATATTAATACCAACTCTAAAGTATTTTTACATGTTGATAATTACAGATCGTAATCGCCAAATGACATAATTTTGATAGAAATCAATCACATCATAATACATTTAAGAGTCATTTATTACCTTACTATGCACAACTAATCATCAAGATTATAAGATTAAAATGCCTCTATATCAAACGTTGAGTTGCATTGGGTTATAAAGCAGAAACAAGTTAATCTCCTTAACACCAAATCATCAATTCATCACATAAATTCTCACTCAACCTACAAACACCCTTTTATTAAACCAGTTGAAGACACGACATCAGAAGCAAGCAGAAGGGCCAAGGCTATTATAAAAGTATGCTTGTAGTTACTATTTATTAGTAAATACTAAATAGTAACTACAAGCTAAGCATACTTTTATAGCAACAGACCAAACCTCAAGAAAAATAGTACAATTTTCTCCTTGGTAGATAAATCATGGCGTGTTGTAAAGGCGAACTATAACACAAAAATGGTAATTTCTTGCCCAATTTATTAATTTAGGTAGCTAATTGCATTGCTTACTCGTGCTAGGTAACTCTGGCTTCATAGAATCCACATATGGTTAAAAATCTCTATGTGATTGATGTTTCAACGAGCCCCCTTGAGTCTAACTAATTAAGCTTAATCATCAACATTCCTATAGCTTGTAGCTCAAACATTTTAAATAGACAGACAGTAAATCTTGAACATATTTTGATAAACAAACTTGGTCTACTGACTAGTACTGCTTTCAAACTTTTAACACAGAATTCCCGTGGCATTGAGTGCCTCAATAGTCACAAAAAGTTTAAGGCTTGAGTGGCAACAAACACGAATTACTTTCATTAAAATTGACATTACAAGAACATTACATTAGCATTTTCAAAATTGACATGCATAAAACAAAATAATTCAAGTAAGACAATAGACCATAACCATACCATGTAGATTGAGAAGCAAAAGAATCCGACTTCACAATAGCCATTGTCCTAGTAGAAGAAAGGCAAGTTTACAGTTTCATAGCATTGACACAGATCTAACACATTGATTGAGAAGCGGTTGTAAGCTTAAACCAAACTAAATTTAACAAAGCAAAATCAAAAGGAAAATTAGTAATCAGTACCTGCTGGCCATACATATGCATCCTCTAATGACAGGTAAGCCTTCTGTTTTTGAAAGTATTACTTGAAGATGTAAAAAAGCACCCGAAAACACAACCTCACAAGCCGATGAGCTCCTAGGAAGCTTAAACAAGGACTTACAGAACTCACGTTCCTTCCAGAGCTTTTCTTGGTCAGACCTTTTTTCAAAACTAACATCTAAATCAAGCTTTTTCAATACTTTTGCATTACCTAGAATGTACCTTAGTAACTTGAGTGCACTAGCATTCCCACTAAGTCCCTTTATCTCTATCGTCTTGAGCTTACTTTTCAAACAACTTGGTACAAAATCTGGTGCACGCCAATTCCTCTGCTCCATTTGATTATCACAATCCATAATGACATCTACCCAAAGATGCTTTAACTTTGGGAAGCATTTCAGTGAAACCAACAAATCCTTGCAATCATTAAGATCAAACATATACAAGATTGTTCTAATATTGACTAGATTTGAAAACAAGGGCGGATTCACACTCAAAGAAAGTTAAGTGTATACATAACAACACTTCTCCACCTCTAGTTCAAGGTTGTATATACTAGACATTCCTCTGAAAAATTCAGAGAGCCGGTGAATCTCCTCAATCCTCATTAACCTCAAATCCATCCGGTTCCCCTTCATCTTCACCCTTCCTCTTCAAATTAATGCATGCCTCGACTAATGCTGTTGAATTATGGCGAAAGCTATAAGGTAAAGTGGAGCCAAATACATGATTAATTTCAAGGTGTGTTAATTTGGGTGCATCAATAGATATCTCATCAAAGCCCGGCTTCGAAGTGTAAGTCTCAACTACCAACTTCAAAGACTTTAAATTCGGAAAATAAAGATTTAGAAGAGGCATTGCATTTAGAGGCTGTGCATTACATAAGAGATCAAACTCCAAAGTTAATTCTTCTAACAAAGGGGAAGATTCATGTAAAGATCCTAACCAAGAAGGCACTTCTATAATGCGGAGTAATAAAAAAAAAACACGGAGGGAGTAATAAAAGTACATATCATGAAAGGTCCAAACTCAACTAAAAATCAAAACAATTATATTAAGGAAAATATAAAAGTTAGAGTATAACTAATTTAGCAGTTTGAGGTAGCCACTTATTGAACTTTTGAGCTTTCTTTCTATAAGCACGAGGATTCTTCTTACTTTTTAGCTTGCATTCTATGAAGCCAACAACAAGCTGCTCAAGCAATGGAGAAATACTGAGCAAGTGCTGACCGAGTTCCATCTCCGAGGAACCTCCACTAAATTTCAGCATCTCAATGAACTTGAGGCTTGGATGACGTACTTTCCCAATAATGTAAAGTAAGTTTTTGTGATAATCATCCTACACAAATACAAATTCAGTTTAGCACATAACAGTAATTGAAACAGAAATGTATATCTACCACCAAGAATATAGATAGATCACCTCATCAGGATCAGGATCCACCTCGACACTGTTCAACTACCAAAAATACATAACAGAATTAGTATGAATATATACAACTATAAAATTAGATCAAAGGAGTTAGAATTAGTATACAACTATGTATTAAGATAAAAGGAGTTATACACTATACAGTACGGAACCCAATACACCAAATCTTGCGTAGAAAATAAGTACGGAACCCAACATTACAACCACAGTTCAAGTTCAGCAAACTGCATCGACATTTCAAGCCCCAACCTTCAATTATTCAACACGACAGGGACAAGGCAACTTCCGTTTCATATTAGTTACAACTTTGGAGTACTATTTGTGAGATATAAAATATTCCAAAGTTGCAATTAATATGAAATGGAAGTAGTACGAAATTCAAAAGAGTGATCAAAGAAGTGTAGGTGTGGACACTGAACAGAGATGCCAATGCATAGGTGGGTGATAGGTCCAGTAAATTCCTTAACACTCACTTTTCTGAACATGAGATAGATAATCTTAACAAAGAATCACAAGGAATGCTTTAATTTTACCTTAATTGCAAATTTCTGGAGGGATGGAGCAGCCTTTATCAGCATGATTAGCCAAAGATAAGGGTGAGAATTCCAACAATCTGGTTTCACTTCAACTTCCAACTGCTCAAGCTTTATGAGTTTAGGAAGTTCCAGCAGGTAATCTACAGAGAATTCTTCTATGCAAGAATCGATATGATATCCAGCTTAAGCCTCTTGAGTTGAGAGATGCAATTGATAAAAAGCCGAGCTCCATTGCTTAGGAAACTTGGGCAGTATAAAGAGCCTATAGAAAGTTGAGATAAAAGGGGAACATAATCTAGTTCAAGGCATTCCTCAAAATCACTACTGTATCTCAAATATATGAGATTTGGTGATGAGATCTGAATCCTTTTATAAAAACAATCTACAAATTCTAGGCTCTTCAACTTAGAGGATTGTGTGCAGACTCTAATATTATGCACAAAACTTGATTCCCACACAGCTAAGCGCTCAAGAGATGGACAGTTTGACAGCATACAGTCGATAACCTCCCCCGAAACATTTATAGACTTAAAGCAAACATCTCTAAGGTTACGTATATCAGAATACTTATGTATAGCTGGAAAAGTGTAATTTCTGAGACTAACACCCAATGATGAAAAGTCCAGATGAAGGCGAGTAACCTTGTTTGTAAGCGCAATTTGAACCCACCTATTAACAGCCTGATAACTACTACCAGTTTTGGATTTGAAATTGAAACTGAAACGAATAGTTAGCTCATCGAATGTTGGCTTAACAACTTCCAAAATACGACTAATTCCCTTTGCTAGGATGGGTTGTCTTAACCTTAGTCTAGAACCATAATCATATTTAGCGGGATATGAAAAGATCAATTTGGAGCCAATGCTTTCAGTCCACAAGTTGCGCCATCTGCGGGAAAGGGCACTTGTTGCCACGGCTTCCCTCAAGGACAATCAAGACAATATATGACACACAATAATATCATCGCTCAACCGGCTGAAATTGTCGACTACACTCGGGCACTGCACATGAAATCAGTGACGCAATCAATATAGAGTATATTCTATGTTACTTGGACTCGGATGAAGTGTCAAATTAGACACAGATGTCCAAGTATCAGACTCGCCCATTGTCTTGAAAAAAGTTTTGTTTTTAGTTAAAAATAAAGTGTCCAAGTGTCGGTGTCGGTGTGTCCGACACGACTCGTGTCGACACGGACACGTGAGGTAAATGAAAGAGTCCGAGTAACATAGCTTGTATATGACAACGAAATAAGTTATTGTAATAAAACAATGACAAGTTCACCTTTTGCAATGGTAATGGTACTTGTTGTCATGTTCTTGGAGCTGTCTTATTATTAGTCTTACGCTTACTGCTACGGTTACGCTTAGATAATTCAGCGGCTAATTGACTTAATTCAGATCTCTTACGCTTAGCAGACATAATTAGCGCAGTTTTTTTGTTGTTGGTTTATTCAAACAAATATCTGCTACCAATCAAAATAGAATAACATTATTTGCAATTCACGATTTCAAATCAATCCAACGGATGATTTAATTAATTGATCAATTAATGTAAAATGTAAATAATTGAGATTTAGCAAATTTCATCTTAAGCAAGCAATCATAATCAATTCCAAACACAAATATATATTTCATAGTTGAGATTTAGCAAATTACATCCTAAGCAATAATAATCAATTCTAAACACGAATATATAGTTAAGATTTAGCAAATTTCATCTTAAGCGAGCAGTAATAATCAATTCTAAACACGAATATATAGTTGAGAATTAGCAAATTTTCATCTTAAGCGAGCAATAATAATCAATTCTAAACACAAATATATAGTTGAAATTTAGCAAATTTCATTTTAAGCGAGCAATTCTGAACAATTCATCTCAACAATAACAAAATTAAAACATGCATACATACTTTTGAATCCAAAAATAAAATAAATTTTGCTCAACTTTACCTCTGAAAGTTTGTTCTGGTATTATTTGTTCACTGTTTCTGAAAGTTTTGCTGAATTTGATTTTATAATATAGGGAGGACAGAGAAAAATGGGGTTTTCTTAATTCCAACACATATTTATATGCTCAGCCGATTTTATTGGAATTTTATTTTCCAAAAATTCTTGTGTGGACTGGTTTACATTAACCATTAATGTGAACCAAAGCCCATGCCAAGCGGCCCAAACCTCAAACCGTTACTTTTTACCTCCCAACCAACCAAACTTTTGGGAATTCGTAGAAATTACAATTTAATAGAAATTGAGATTTCATGAGAATTTTTATTACTATCTTGCTAACGAGCGCCCCGGGGCGTTAGTTAAAGATAAATTATATTGGTTGAAATGGTATTAAATTAGGAATTCATGACAAAATCACGCGTCGTTCGGTGTAATTAATGTTAATTTTACTCTAATATTTGCACTTTAATTCTCTTATCTAACGCCCCGGGGGCGCTCATTAGCTTTTTATATTCAACTAAAACATTACTCCCTCTGTCCCTAAATACAAAACATCTTTTTAGCATTTATCACTCCCATAATAAAGAAAAAGAGGTTTTGAAGGGACAAAGGGAGTACATTGCAAATCACAAGTACACTATAATTATATCAATAGTTTATTTTTTGTACTGTAGTATTTTAAAGTTACAAGTACAGAACATTATATAACAAATTACAAGTACTGAAGTACATATAGAGAGTACCAAGTTAAACTTTGTTTAGTGACAATATTGTCACCTTCCAACCTTAAGGTTGGGGGTTCAATCTTTACTAGAGACACTTTTAGGGAGGGGATCCCTTACCCTTACCCTTCCCCTTACCCTTCCCCCTCACTGGCTCACTCTAACGATTGAAAAAATTCTAATACCTCCGTTACATATTATACCGATCCAATTTAGGGGTTATACTGTTTTAGACAAACATTTTCGATCCAACCCAACCCAATATGATGGACTTTCTGGGTCACCCGTGTAATAGACTAAGGCTGCAAATTACTTAATGAAGAAGAAAAGGACTGATTCATTCCAATAACAAAAGTACGGATACAAGTAACTTGAGGTTACTACTCTCCAAGCAACTTGAGGCTGCTAGTCTCCAAGTTTTCCTCACAATTTTCTGAATGAATTCTAAGTTGCATATCCTAAATTACTTATACTAATGGTCACATTGCCCTTAGAGATTACATGTGAATTCTAATGCTTAAAATAGAAAAACCAAATTAGAACATACTAAAAGTTGCTTGCTTCCATTCCTTCTTCTCTTCTTAATTAAACTTGTCCTCTAGTACATTGGAATTGCCTTGCTTCCTTGTTTGCTGCCTTTTTTTTTTGGTGCTCTGCTCATTGTTGGTGCCCGTGCTTGACTCTTCTAGTGTAGACTTTTAACGGTTGACCCGATTGCCCGAGTCCATCACATTACTCCCCCCAACGAGTTTCACCTTGTCCTCAAGGTGGAAGTGGGGAAAACGATCATTCAAGGCATCCCAATCTTCCCAAGTAGCTTCGAAATCAGGCAGATTAGACCACTTGACCAAGACTTCCCGGACTAACTCATCCCCTTGACTCTTCTTGCGGACATCTAACACAGCTTCGGGTTCCACCAGCATTTCGAGATCAATTGTGAGCTGATCAGGAATAGCCGGACTGACAGGACGATCCCCAATTGCCCTTTTGAGTTGTGAGACATGGAAGGTGGGATGAATCTTATAGGAGGCAGGAAGTTCGAGCTTGTACGCCACTTTACCGATGCGCTGTACGACTTTGAAAGGCCCATAAAATCGAACAGCGAGCTTCTCAAAAGGCCTCTTTGCTAATGATTTCTGGCGGTAAGGCTGGAGCTTGAGGAAAACCATATCTCCAATGTCGAAATGCTCATCTCTTCGATATTTGTCGGCGTTTTCCTTCATTAATTGCTGACCCCGTAACAGATTCAACCTTAATTTATCGAGCATGAAATCCCTTTCTCGCAATTGCTCCTCTAACGATCCCACCATTGTTTGTCCAGACTGCACGCGCCACAACTTAGGCGGCTCTCGGCCATAAACCACCTGGAATGGCGTGGTCTTGGTGGCGCTATGCGGCGAAGTGTTATAGGCATACTCCGCCCACGGTAACCACTGGGCCCAGGTTCTAGGTTGGGTGGAAGCGAAACAGCGCAGATAAACCTCCACCGCCTTGCTCACAATCTTCGATTGGCCGTCGGACTGGGGGTGATAAGCAGTGCTCCTCCGTAATTGCGTCCCTTGTAGCCGAAACAACTCCCTCCAGAAAATACTCATAAAAATACGGTCCCGGTCAGAGACGATGGCAGAGGGAAAACCATGTAGCCGCACAACCTCCTTGACAAAAATTTCGGCCACCTTCGCGGCGTCGAATGGGTGTTTCAGCCCTATAAAGTGCCCATATTTGGATAGGCGATCCACAGCCACCAATATGGTGTTCACCCCCTTAGATAAGGGTAAACCCTCGATAAAATCCATAGAAATCTCCTCCCACACCGCCGTCGGCACCGGTAAGGGTTGCAGCAGTCCCGCCGGTTGCCGTTGCGACGCCTTATTGCGCTGACACACATCACAACTCCTCACATACTCACCCACTACCTTGCGGAGGCCCGTCCATAACCACTCCGCCGCCACCCTGAGATACGTCTTCACCTCACCGTCATGACCACCGGTGGGGGCATCGTGATACTCTTGAAGTAGTCTTGGAATAATTCTGGAGGTTTTTGGTATGACCATTCTTCCTTTGTAACGGACCCTTCCTTCTTCACATGTAAAACCATTGGGCCCTTGTTTATCTGGCCCAATACTCTCCTTCAGCTCTCTGATCCAAGGATCAGTGTCGATTTCTCTTTGTAGCTCTTCCCAGTTAATTCCTTGTGTGTACACTAATGCTCCCAACTCACACCCCTTCCGAGACAAGGCGTCGGCCACTCGGTTGGAGCCCCCCGGCCTATAACGAACCTCAAAATCAAACCCGACTAGCTTTCTCATCCATTTTTGATATTCGTTGCCCACCTCTCTTTGTTGAGTAATGTACCTCAAACTTTGTTGATCGGTTCTAATAACAAAGTGTCGCCCCAACAAGTAATGTCGCCATTTAACCACGACTAAGCAAATAGCCATGAGTTCTTTCTCGTAAATGGATTTTGCCCGAGCTCTTACTCCCAAGAGCTTACTAAAGAAAGCAATGGGCCGGTTTTCTTGCATTAAAACGGCTCCAAGCCCATAACCGGAAGCATCGGTTTCCACCACGAATTCCTTGCCGAAATCCGGCATAGCTAATACCGGGGCGGTGGTCATGGCCACCTTCAATTTTTCAAAGGCTTGGGCCGCCTCCTCGGACCACCCAAACGCATCTTTCTTGAGTTGTGATGTAAGAGGCCCGACCACTTGAGCATAGCCCGCCACGAATTTACGGTAGTAGCCTGTCAAACCCAAGAAGCCCCTCAACTCCCTTAAATTACGTGGCCTGGCCCAACTGATGATGGCCTTTATCTTTTCTTGATCCATGGCCACTCCTTGGCTTGAGATCACATGGCCTAAATAAGCCACCTCATACTTCCAAAATTCACATTTCTTGTAATTAGCATACAAGTCATGCTCTGCCAATTTTGTGAGAACAAGTTGCAAATGTCTTTGATGTTCCTCTTCACTCGTGCTATACACGAGAATGTCGTCAAAGAAAACTAGCACAAACTTCCTCAAGAAGGGTCGAAAAATATCGTTCATCAACGATTGAAATGTGGCCGGCGCATTAGTGAGACCAAACGACATCACCAGAAACTCGTAGTGATCCTCATGAGTTCGGAAAGCCGTCTTATGAGTGTCTTCGGCTTTAACACGAATTTGATGATAGCCGGATTTCAAGTCCAACTTAGAAAAAATGACCGCTCCATGTAGCTCATCCAACAACTCATCGATTACCGGAATCGGGCATTTATCCGGGACCGTTTCCTTGTTGAGGGCACGGTAATCGACGCAAAATCTCCATGATCCGTCTTTCTTCTTGACTAGCAAAACCGGGCTAGAGAAGGGACTAATCGAAGGCTTGATTATACCGGCTTCCAACATTTCTCGGATTAATTTTTCAATTTCATCCTTTTGTATTTGTGGATACCGGTACGGACGCACACTAACGGGATTGCTACCTTCTTTCAAAATTATTGAGTGCTCGTGGCCCCGAGACGGAGGAAGACCAGTAGGCATGTTGAAGACCTTAGCAAATTCTTCCAAAATGGACTTCAACATTTCTGGCGGATCTCTCTTGTTTTTAAGCCCAACTTCAGCTTGTGGCCCAACTTCAGTTTGCTCCACTTGATTCACTTCCACCCAAAGCCGATTCTTCTCCTTACCCAAAATTCTAAACATGGCCTTAAGGGAGACCTTGGCAGTTTCTAGTGACGCATCACCGACGAGCTTCACCGGCACTCCGGCCACCGTGAACCTCATTTCTCGAGTGTTCCAATTTGTGGTGACGGTCCCAAGTTTTTCCAACCATTGTACTCCAAGTATTACATCGGCATTTCCTAGCCCAAGAGGTAGGAAATCTTCCACCACGGTTATGCCACCGTTCAATTTAACCCGAACACCTTGGCACACACCACTTCCTTTCACGGTGTCACTGTTGCCAAGTGACACCCCAAACTCGCCACCCTTCGTTAAGGGTATTCTAGCCTCCTCTACTAGAGATAGCGAAATAAAATTGTGGGTGGCTCCGGGGTCGATCATGACCACCACCTCCTTGCCTTGTATCGCCCCCTTTAACTTCATGGTTTTTTGGGTTAGAGATTCCGACCACCGAACACAATGTCACCCCAACCTCCTCCGTAGGTTCCTCTAGCTCTTCCTCGAACTCCACTCTCTCCAACCCATCATGATCACCACCATCTCCGGTAAGTAAGACACTCAACTCCTTTTTCCTACACCAATGCCCGACTCCCCATTTCTTATCACAACGGAAACAAAGGCCCTTAGCCCGTTTGTCTTGCAATTCACTTTCCGTCAACCGCCTAGGTTCGTTACCCGACCTTTGCATAGAGTGAGTCGAATTGGG